CTACACAATGACCCTTACTGTTGAACATGATGACGCACGTTCACCTAAGGGGGGAACAGATCAGGCCCTCATGGGTGTTAATGGGGCCAGTACCTCCAAATTTCTTTAAAGGTAGTGTCCAGAATTACACCAGCTTCTCACACAGGAATGTTAAATGATGAGCTGACAAGATACGATGAGTACATGGCCATTAAAAGTGAACATAGAGGAATCAGTTTTATGGATTTATTCTGACAGATTTCAAATATTTACCTGAGCTTTTACATCAGTGCCTCGATGTAATAAGACAATAACAGCAGCGAGTGGAAACACCTTTCTGTCTCTCAGGAAGAGTGGGTAAAGGTTGGCTGCTTCTGTAAGACCCTCTGTTTTGTTTTACATTGTTGCAGTTGCTTTTGTTATATTTTGCTAATGAAGTTGGTTTTTAATTAAGAGAAGTTATAAAACAATTTCAGTGTTGTTGGTTGGTGCATAACTTTAATTAAACTGATTATGGCCGTTTTATGGCTCCCTGGGCACTGACACATAAAAGGCCCCCTCACCCTCCTACACAGAAGCAAGACCCAGGACTAAAGGAGACTGGTCTTTTCACATCTCTTCATAGTTGTTTTTCATCTCCGCGTGGTTGTTTAGCATCTCACTGCAATTTTGTATCTCTTAGAGGTCATTTTGTATCTCTGTGGTCTTTCTGCATCTTTTAATAGTTGTTTTGCATCTCTATGCTGTTGTGCTTGCATGTTTTTGAGGATAATTTGCATCACTTTGTGGTCTTTTATAGTCTCTTTGTGGTCTTTCGGCATCTTTTTATATTCATTTACTGTCTCTTTGTAGTCGTTTTTCATCTACTGGTGGTTATTCTGTGTCTCTATGTGGGTATTTTGTGTATTTGAAGACAATTTGCTTATATTATCTAGAGGTATTTTTGTCTCTTTCTTGTTGTGTTGTGTTTATCATTTCGGACATTTTGTGTCCCCTTTTATATTTTTAAAGCTAAATAAAGCTGGGTTATTCCTTGTCCTACAGTGATCTCGAATAGCTGTTTAACAAATGACAAGCCACCTGTCATTTCAGCTTCAATAAAATCAAACAATTTTGGCACACAGTGTTTACACCACTTTTATTGCACTGAAACCAACTGGAGCATGGAATAGGCTGCATATTTTTATCCGATCCCAACCTGAGCCCAAAGCAGTTGAGTTTGTAAGGGGCTTTCCCCTTATCATTAAACAAAGCACACATTTGATTACTCCAGCGCTCAAGCCTAAAGTTTGACTTACTGACTGATCTCATTAGGTTTGGTTTGTGTATCCGCACTCTAAAACCAACACAATGCCTCTGAAAGATGTATTCTTCTCTATGAAATTTGATCTCCAGCTTTTTTGTCTGTTAGGTATTTTTAGTCAGATAGATATTGGATAGATACTTTATGTATTAGAAATGTTTAGTGGAGATAGGATGTCTAGTTAGACTGTTAAATGCTTAGGCATGCTTATGAGTTTCTACAGGGTACATCTGGTCAAGGATAACTAGAGAGAAGAGTTGATGACTGTCAGCAGACAGGGTGTTTAATATTATTATTATGACGTGTATAACTGTAGTCTTAGCCATAATATGTTCTTATGTTTAAGTCACGACATGTTACTAGAAGTCTGTGAGAATGTTTTTAGCTACACACCACTTAATCAACAGACACACACACATTGATTTACTTCATGTTTTGACTACTGCTATGGCCAGCTGCAAAGCTGGCACCAGAGATGTCGCGGTTGACGTTTCTGTGTAGTATGGGGCTAGCCCAACCGAGGGGATATAATGTATAGGCCTGGTGGGTTCAGGGTCTTTTCATCTTACATCTGCCTGCGTGCATGTTGGAGGTGCAAGATACTTGAGCGTGTAATGTTAATTTTACCTGTGATCCTTTAAATAAATCAGCACTGTTTTGAAGTTACTTGGACTGCCTCGTCTCTCAGAGTTAGCAATGGTAACAAGAACTGAGACCTACATGTCTTATAAAATAGTCTTCCATCAGAGCTGACCATAGGGACATGGGGACACTAACACTGCACAGATACACAGCCTGTGAACAGCCATTGGGTGAAGCAGAACAATGTGTCTGCCCACATGAAGTTTAGTTACTCTTTCTCACAGGGCCACAACACTGACTTGCTTTATAGTCACGGGCTCCACCCAGCCCCTGGAGGAAACATGAGGCTCAGTCCTGACATGTCTGCACCTATGTGGGGAAATACTACCATGGCAGTTGTGTTACAAGAGCTTATGTGCTAGAAAAAGAGTGGGGCGGTTGGGAAAATGAACAGATTATTCCCAAAGAGAACATTTTTCCTATTCAATGGATAACTTTCATACAAATGTTGTCAAGTGTTTGAATGGAGCCTGTTCTCTTATAACAGAAGAACAGAAAGGCCATTAAACACTACATCTTTTCTGCAATCTCTCCTAGTGCCCTTTGGTCAAGTATTGAAATTTAAACCTAAACTTAATTTTTACCCACATACATAAAAGTTGTTTTTTTTTTGCAAAGATTAAAAGATTTGTAAAAAAAGCTGAAGCCACATACTTTGTTTTGACACTCACACAAAACATGCACATGTAGAATTATTATTTTCTATATATAGGAGGTAATGATTTGATTGTTTAATTTTAATCACAGGTGCATGTGCTTTTGATTTCTTTTTATTTTCTTTGATACAATGCACAGAGACACACCCTGTGAGACATCTGGTATGATGCAGAAGGACTGATTTTAAGAGGCAGAAGTCATAGTGAGGGCCTAGCAGAGCAGACACCCCAGGACATGAGCCTTGCTGTTTTTGATCAGCTGCCGTGGCACGCCTCAAAGCTAGGTGGATGGACCTGAAAAACCAGGTGCCTGAGATTATTGCTCTTAGAAAGGAGCAGTCAGTGAGCAAGCGTGGAGCCTCCTCCTTCTCTTCACATGATTCCCACAGAAACCGCACTGTGACACACATACACGCAGCAGCAGCATCTATTTTTGTTTTTAATCTCTGTCGTCTTTTATTTTTGTCTGCTTTTACCTTGGACCTCCTTCCCTGGAGTAGCTCGCACACTCCTCTTACTCCTTGTATCCCACCACAGATCTGCTGTGAGTGTCGGCTCACACCGGTGGACTATGCCCCCCTCAATCGGCTGAGGGAGGGGGGGTTTATGCTGCTCAGGCTCCCATCTGGAGAAGGCTTGGGCTGAAATCAAAGAGGAGAGAGTTAGGTAAGTCCCAAGGCTAATCACTGATTTGACTCTTTTCTGTTGTTTCCATCTAAATTTGTCTTTTGTGGACAAGTCAGAGAGTTGTTTATGTCACTCTTCTCTGTATATGTGTGTGTGTATGCTCCCAGCCAACATGGCAAGACAGCAGGTGAATCTAAGGTGAAAGGGAATAGCTCACATTCCACAGCGCTCTAGGATTTAAAGATCTACTGTGAACCAGTGGATGGACACAGATTTGTGTCTGTTAGGAAAATTCGGTGTCTGTTCCCATCACAGTCTACATGTGTATTTCTTACTGATATCTTACTGTTTGTTGGATTGGCCACACTGATTTATTTCTTTATTTAACTTATATTTTACCGAGGAAAAGCCCACCAAGGTTTCAAACCTCTTTTTCAGTGGTGCCCTGGCCAAGACAGCGGCACAAAAACTACAAACTAGAAACAGGGTAATGAACTAAAACCAGACCAAAATAAAACAGAAACAGGCAGTAAGGACTCAGATATAAGTGCTGTTAAGAGTGATAACAGGAACAGGCAGTACATGACTCATTCATCAAAGCGTTTATGTCTCACGAGTTGTCACTGTGTTACAAGGAAATATGATTGCTATTGGTACAGTACAGCTGTGCCTACCCAAAGCCCAACAGTTTAATAATGTAACAGTTACTGCTGGCTATCTTGGGAATGTCCTGCCGAAATATACAGCGGTATGAGTATACTGTGTGTTCTAATAATAGTAAGGATACCTGTTCTACTGGTGCATTTTACTCATCTTCACTCACTGAGTCAAATTACAGGTTACATACAGGTGAATAAGTATTTTTGTATACCTGCTGCACCTAACCAGCTTAAGTGTAACAATGTAGGTACAGTTTAGATGGCTTGGAAATGTCAGTGGTTTATGCAGTATGTTAAAAGACAAGAAGACTAATGTGGGGTGAGAAACATAACTCCCAACGGCATTAAAAAACTAATTGCAATAAACAAGCTATTCTCTCTATCTATCCAGGTTTCACAACATATATCAACTCATTTTGATGATGTGATTACTCCTTTTGAGAGTTTGTTAAGTTCAGACTAAGTGATTGCACTTAGAAGGAGCCTGCACCTGGATCAACACTAATCAACTGCCTGGGACGTCACAGTGAACTGGCCATAATCTTGGTCAGCTCAGTAGATAGTAAGTACAGTGCTGTTGTGTGTGCTTTGTTTTGTTAACTCTGATAAGCAGTGTTTGGAAGCATGCTTTAATATCCAGCCTCTGGAAGCATCCTATACATACCAGCATACCCGCAAGTAAGGCTTTAGATTAAACAAGTATTATGTAAGAGTCGAATTTTGCACCAGGATGCAATAGAATACACTAAGGTGTTAATGATAGATCATTCAAATCCATAGAAATATTAATGGTGTGTTTGTGCCATAACACCACAGTTTCCTTCATTTTTGTTGACTTTCTATAAACATCCATTTTTCTTGCTTCTTGCAGCTGCAGAAACAATACACTGTAAACTAAGAATCTGCTGTGCAAACCTCTATCATCTTTTACATGGGTCACTGGCCAGTGCATGTTGTGACAAACATCTGTCAGTGTCAAGCCTCTTGGTGACTTACTCAGGTTGATAACATTCATAGTGATACCCCTCTTTAGTGGGACCTCTTGAAACCAAAGGGTAAATTTGCATCTGGTGTGATACAGTCGACCTCTCTGCTGTGATTTCACACTGTATGCCTGCTCTGCAACAGAAAAATTATAGCTCCACCTGTCTTATGAACATGCTGCTCAAATATTGACTCTGGTTGTTATTTGATGCAGGTCATATTTTCAATGTGCTTATGAAAGTGTGCGCAGGAGACTGTGTTGTACCTCAATGTGCAGAGAGGAAAAAGTCAAGTCACTCAGCAGCTTTGTTTGTTTGTTTTTTTCCTGAGATAAAAAAGAGGAAACTGTTGTTCCTGTTCTGTGTTGGAAGCACACTCTCTGAGCAAACCAATAAATGATTTGTTTACTGAGGGTGGAAGAAAAGATATTGAATCTGCAGTGTAGGTGAATAGCTGCAATTTGTAGAACAGCAAACAAACTATCATTACAGTCCAGACAGGAAGAAGGGACTGATGTCAGAACAAAGTAGTCTGAGTAGTTCTAGCTACAAATTTCTTTGCCTTAAAAATGTATAGAAACAAAATCAGTAATATGTAACTGTTATTACTGTTACTAATCCTTTGTAACTGTAACACAGATGCCTAAAAGGGAAGTCATTTTGTTCAATGAGGTCAATATTAACTCCTGTAAAAATATAAAATTATGCTATCATGCTCATGTTATTCTGAAAGTGAGCTCACACAAGTGACTCAATGCATGAGGTCACACTCATCATACTAACTGGATCAAATCTGCTTTTTGTACAGGGTTTCAAAGTTTAAATGGTCATTGAAATGTTTTATGTAAAAACATTTTAAGTGCAAGTTTTAGATTTCCATATTGGAAAATTCTTGTCTTCTTGATATTTTGCACTATGGAGCAACTGTTTTCATCAACACTTTAAATCCTGGCTTCTTGGGTGTTGGTAGAGTGGCTCACTCTTGTCTTTCGTTTCCTCCAACATGGTTTTGCGCTGTAGTAGTAGCCACACATTCTTGTAGGGTAGTAGGTACTTAGGTAGTTACTGCTAGTTCTTTTTTCCACATTGGTGGCAACCACCATTACAGTGCAATACCTATTATTATTATTATTATTATTATTATTAACATGATGTCAATATTTCATTTTTTAAATACCACGGTTATTGTCAGTACTGGTATATTGCAACACCTTTGTTTATGGTTTATAATATATTTAATATTTTTCCAGTACTACCCAAGCTGTATCACAGCTGATGTGACTGTGTTGTGTGTGTGGTTAAAGAACTAGTTATGAGAAGTTTGTATGGTAAACCTGAAGCCATTGCCTGCAGCAGTTAGCTTAGCTTCCTGTAAAGACTGGAAATGGGGAAACAGCCTGCTTCTGTGCAAAGTTAATAAAATAGAAGCCTGCCTCTTCTCACCTAAAATCTAGGAGAAGTTTGATGCAGTATGAATTACATATCTTGTGCACTGATAATGTATCAGCACAAGGGTGCCAAGTCTATTGTGTCTGTACACAATTAAGACACATGCATTTTATGTGGTTTATAGAGGTTGTCCAATTGCTTTTTAAATAATGCTGTGCATTTTAAGAACTGACTGTATGCAAATTTGGGTTTTAAAAAAGCTTATACCTGTGGTACAAATATGACACTTACGTCTACTGTCTTTATTATGCAAAGCCCTTAGGGGCAAACTTGTGATTATAAGATATATAACTAAAGTTGACTTGACTGTTGCTTAATTAACCATGCCAACATCAACAGCATACTGTATTCTCTACCTTGTTAGCAAAGCAGTGGTGTTACCAACTTTATACAACATAATCCTTTCATTAATCAGAAGCTGTCACTTCTGCAAACAGCAAATATGTTATATGTCATTACAAATATCAATGGTTAATTGTATGTCAACACTGTGAGAGTTGGCTGTGCAATATTTGCTGTCAAGATGGGCAATAAACACCAGTCTGAAGTACTAGCTTCAGGTTTGTTGTCAGCCTGTAGTTAAAATTGTGATTCAATTTTTCATCACCACTCAGTGAGAAAATGTCACAGTCTTGAGAACATATTGGTCACTTGGGTTTCACAGGTGATGAGTGAATACGGGGTTGTAAATGTGGATCGTTCACAATGCTTCCTGGATATGTATGGCTTGTAATTCAAATGTAAACTTTTACGGTTCATTTATGGTTACAGCTACTGTAGGTACACAAGCCAGTGTATCTGTCCATGACTCTCAGTATTCTGATCTCATTCAAAAAAGGAGGCTGGAAGAGAAACTTTATCTGATAACCTAACTGAAGTGCTAGAATTACATCCTAAGAATAAATTCAGTGTTAAAAACACAATACTCTGTCTTAATGAAAAAGCCTATGACATGAAGAAAATAGGTTTATTTGCTTCTTGATCAGGGTTAGAAGATAACACTCTCTGTCTGTACAGTGAATATCAAACTGGAGCCAGTAGCTGGTTAGCTTAGCTTAGCACAAAACTCAGAAACTGATGGAAAGTTAGCTGGCCTCTGTCCAAGGGTAACATTATCTGCTACAAGCGCCTATAAAGCTCACTAATCAACATATTATTGTATATGTTGTTTGTTTAATCCGTACAAAAATCAAAGTGTCCCATTAGACAAAGCCAGACTAGCCTTCTCCCTGTGTTTCCAGTCTTAATGCTAAGCTAAGCTAACATCATCCAAAAAATAATGAGGTTACTGAATGTGTGTGTGTGTGTGTGTGTGTGTGTGTGTGTGTGTGTGTGTGTGTGTGAAAGAGAGATGATAATGTGTTTCACTGTTATCCTTGGGCAGCCAGGTGTTCTTCCCACCTTTTCATTTTTATAAGAGGCTCTTTGTAGCAATACCAACTACATAACCTGAAATGATGTTTGAAACATGATATTCCACATAACATTCTGTGTGAATTCATTCAGTACAGTAAATGTAAAATCACTTACTCTAGTGGTTTTAAGAGTGACAGCAGTCTAATGTCTGTCAACAGTCTCTCATCAACCGGAGGCTCATAATGTTAAGCAGAAACCTCACAGGGTGTGATACAGTGGAACTGAAGGTTTTGCATGCTTTCTTTTGAATTTCAATGTAATCAACAGAGTTGTCAGTTTATTAGAGAAAAAAGATAAGTGTGTATGTATATAGTGGGCCAATCCTACTTGTGCACAGGTTTTCAGCTTTTTATAGCTGATGCAAATTTTGTTTGCTTGAAGCACCTGCTCTGATTGGGCCGCTGTGCTTCACTCCCAGCAGACACAATGCCAAATCACTCTAATGTAAATCTTAATTATAACAACGTTTTAAGCCATTTCTTTCTTTCTTTCTTTCTTTCTTTCTTTTTACTTATTATATTTCCTATAATTAAAAAGTTTTGTTTGACAACCATTTCAAAGCCTGCCATTTCTCTGACAGTTTGACAAAATAATGATACATTTGGACAATTTTTAGGATTTAATTCACGGAAGCTGTTAAATGAGCAATAATCGTCAATAGGCACAAAAAGATAACTGACCACACATTTTAGAAAGATTTTACAAAACTTTCTACAGTGAGACAAATAAAGCTGCTGTCCTTTGGGTTGTAGCCTGACAAATGTCATCATGATGATGGAACATGGAGCCTTTCTAATTAATAACCACATGTCTGAGTCACGGTTGAAGGACTGACCTCATTATCTAATCTTTGTTTTGCATCACACTACGTGAAAAGAGGATGAGGAACACCAGTGATGATGATGGTTCTAGTGCAGTGGAAACTGAAGTACCAGTGACATTTCCAAAAATAATTGGAGATCACTGCAGTAAACCTACTGTACTTGTAATTAGAATTAATTGTTTCTGATAGAATTTAAGACAAAGTGACTGAAGTGTAATGTGAAGTCTGCATGAGTTTCTCTAAGCATGCAAAGTCATAATATCTTTACTGAGGGGAGGTATGAGCTATAGGAACAGCCCTGACCTGCAGCTGTGAGAAGATCCGTTCCTGTATGAGAGATTTTCCAAAATGACAGAGGATCTGTGTGACCCAGAAAAACTGTAACACAATAGATTAGATGCAGATCAAGATTACAACATCTGAGAATATGCATTGTTCAGGACACAAATCACATTGATACAGTTTTTGCAGGTACAATAAAGCTTCTTTATTGGCATAAATGCAGTTGATTGACAGAATAATAGGTTTATTTTTAGGGGGATGTGCCACATTACTTGCACCTGCAATTTCCCTGTTATGAGACTAAGCTGAGAAGAAGTGTTGCAGATAAATTCATAAAGATTGCCCATGACAAAAGAAAATCTTTAATAGGTAGACTGATGTTTTTATTTATTTGACATTTTTCTTATTTCCTACGTGACATCCCACAAAATGAGAAAAACCAAGCTGTGTATTCTCTGTGTGTAGGGGGAGAATATGTAATTAATTCATACTGAATGTCCCAAAACTACATCTGTAACAGAGAATAGCAGCACAGTAGCATACTAGCCCTCCATGTCAGAACTTTGTTTTCAGTTCAGTTCTCAATGCATCCGTTTGTCTGGTGATACACTTCTAAAACCCCAAATTATTTTGTTGTTATTATAAAGCCTTAATAGACAGGATGAACTTGCTGTGTGATCTTAAAGCCAGTGGATGTTGATTAGAGACACTGATTAGTACACCATCCATATTGTTCTTGTGAGGATCCTCACTCCTCTGGTATCATTAGTTCACTGGTGCCACTCCCTCCGCTATGCCACCTGCTTACTGTTTGTAAGTCTATCATGCAGCTATTTTAATCTTCAGATCCTATATTCTTTCTTTATTCTGTTCTTGTCACCTTGTTTTTATCTGCAGCATGACTGTGAAAGACCATTTTTTATTGTAAAATATTACAGTACACACATAAATTTAGTGTGTTTGGAGAGTTGGCTGAAGTTCTTTCCTTTTTTGTCTCTGCAGGTTTCTGCTGAAGATGCAAGTTTCAACTGCCACACCTGTGACCAGCACTACAGTACCTGTCAACACTACCACCACCACAAAGTCCAAAGAACAAATACTCATTCAGAGTAAGGAAATCTCAAGTGTGTGTAGGTGCTCATTGTGTTCGTGCTTGTGGTTTGCCCTCCTTGTCCTCTTAAGTTGCATATCTATAAAGCGCACCCTTGTGTATAAGGTGCTTGTTGTGGACATCATCGGATCTTAGCAGTGACCATGACTGCCAAAGAGTCAGATAAAAAAATATTAAATGATAAACCAAGTCTCCTAAACAATAGGCTGTTGCAGCATGCAGTCTAATCTAAATGGTTTGAACAGGAAATATTTGCCATGTTCTGTTTGCCTGTGAGTGAGGCCGTTGCTAAGCTTCCAAACACTTTACTGCTGGAGGATACACAAAAAAGTTTCATCATAATGAGCAGAGGGAATGTGTAAAATGCAAAGTATCTCTGAAGATGTTAATCAGGCATTCCCTCACTCTGTGCTTCTCTCAGGTTCTGGGGCTATGATCGCTATCATTGTCATAGGTATCATCTTCATTGTCGCTATTGTACTGCTGATCTTGAGGACATACAACAGGTAAGACCGCATTCCTGTTAGATAGAACAGAGTCTTCATACTGAGTGTCATGAGCCATAATACAGTGATCACGCTATTTTTATCTACTTCAAGAAAGATGAAGAAGATGTGTTCATTAGCCACTATCTGTGAAATTATATAGACGAATAAAAACAATCACCCATATCATCATTCATATCCACTCTGTGACAGTGTTCCAAACTTTTAAACTTGTGATGCAACATCTAGTCACAACCCCTTGTCTGGGTTAAATGCATATATCTATGACATTTACAGTGGTTTGGATTGTTGTAAGAAGTCTGAAAAGGTTTATCTACTATATATAATTAAACTGCAAAGTTTACAATAAAAAAGCCTGTGTAGCTGTTTTTTTTCTTATTAGTTTAAAAAAAAATCTTTTTCCAATCCCTGAGATTTTTCTTACTGTATGACCCCTAGGGGTGGACTAGACCTACAAAGTGTACCCACAAAAGGCCAAATAAAGTCTCATAGGATGAATTAGTATGGCTGTTCCCAATCTACAGTGTGGCAGAAGTATTTAATTAATATTTACTTAAGTTAAATTAGCAATACCTTCATGTAAAAATATTGATTTTCAAAGTAAAAGTCTTGCTCTTAAAATTATAGTCAGGACATGCCAAAATAGCTCATAAAATGTATGAAAGGTAACAAGACTTTGAGCAGAATAGGTGAAGATCAAAAACATATTTCCTCTACAGTGAGGATTCTTTTATTCATGGTTTGGACTAGAAATGCCTATCACTTTCTCTCTTATTTGTCCTATCTTTCCATTTTGTTTGTCATTTTTTGATGGCTGATATGTTTGGCACCTTTGGGTCTGCATATTATGTTTGTAATGTACAACTGAAGTAATAGACCTGCAAAAAGCTGGAGGGAGTATTGTATTTTTGAGTTACCACTGAGTACACTAGACAGAGTAGTGATATTTGAACATTCTATGTCAGTTTGCTAAGTAAGGTGAGATTTGTCTTAACATCACAATGTCATTTCTGCCAGGCGGACACATGCATCCAGAGTCCTAGGTGTCAGTAGTAGCACCAGACCTCGTCACAAGCTGTCACAGTCTACAGGTCAGAGCAGCATGCCGCTGAGCACCATGGGAGTTCACTCTGTGACTAACAGCATCGACAATTCAAACCCAGCCTCAGAGATCAGCTTCCAGGTACCGACAGTGGAGTCGAACGGGATTGAAGGAAACCACATAGAGCAGTTCAGCACCATCAGTGATTCCACTGTGGTCACTGTACATGACACTCCATCAATAGGAAACACATAGCACCAAGACTGTGGCTTAGTTTCTCAACAGGGATCGACTGATGTTTTGTCTGATCTGTGACCACCTGCTGTGTGCTGACTGAATTTTGTGGAAACTCAAACTGTGACGTCAGTGTTAATCTCCACTAAATGAGCCACAGCTGGTGATTATATGGATGACCAGATGTCCTTTTGGCATACAAAGTTATAAGTTATTCTGAACAAAATAGCATCAGAAACAGACACGGTGGATCACATGAATGATGTTGCAGGATGAAAAACAGACTTTCTGGTGAAGAATTATTTTGTGGCTACAGTCAGTGTTCAGAATATAGCTGCCATAAGTTTCGTACTGTTTGTACTGTTTTTGTTGACATTCCATCTCTAGAAAATATAACAAAGAAAATGTGTGGTGAAGACTGTGGTGGCTTAACAATGTTGGTCTTAAGTTTGTACATTTCTCTAGCCTATTAAAAGAAACCATATAGGTTCATGAATAAAAGTAGAATTAGTAGAGAAGTCAAAGATAGCATGAAGGAAGCCAACTCAGTATGATTTAGAAAAACTTATTTCAAATGTATTTTTGACCAAATATACTGTACTTCTTACTAAATCTGGTTTATTTTCATAGTGCTTTGTCTTCTGCACACAGTCTACTTTTTGTCTAAGAAATCTATCAAATGTCAGTGTATATTTTCTGTATAACATCTGAGTGTCATGCTAACACACTGATGTGAATCCTTTTTAATTTAATACAAGAGGATTTTGCACTTTATTTCCATTGTATTGCTTGTGGTTCTTTATTAAATGAAGCGAGATGAAAATAAAATTTCATATTTTTAGTCATGGCTGACCTGTTTCTTTTTTTTTTTAAATACCATTACTCTTCTTTTTTATCTGCTTACTTTTATACCTGAGTTTCCTGCACGTTATTGCGCCCTCTGCTGGTACATTTCCGTCCTGAATCAACGAAAGGCTGAACTATCACCAAGCTGCATTCAAAATGACACGAAAGGTTGCAAAATGTAACGTTAACTGGTGTTTCAGAATAAGATCGTCGTTGTGAACCGTCATTATCTTTCGTTACCTGGATTTAGCTTAATTCATTATGAGTCCTGGGATGTTTTTTTGTGAATAACAGCAATAAAGTTGAAGGCATTCATTATTCGTCTACTAACAGCAGAAGACCAGTCTTGAATGCGACTTCACTGCGACTGTCGACGATGGTGACCGGAGGTGAGTAGCTAACTGGCTAATTTATCCCTCAGATCATGAAATTCGCTAACGTTTTAAAATTTGCTTTTGTACTTTACGAATATATTAACATTCATAAGTATCCCCTTATTTTGTAGTATTAATAACACAAAACTAACCCAGACGTAGCTAACATGTTAAGCCCATGCTAAGGAAGTAAGCTAGACAGGTAAGAGTATTACATTACCAAGACTGTTATGTACTGTTCTACTGTTTTCGCCTTTGATAAACACACAGGTCGTATAACTATCCTAGGAGATTATATGAGTAAGATATGAAGTGACTGTGTGGCTGTGATGCGTTGCAGTGGAGCTGCTCAGTCTCCTGCTGGTGTCAGTGCTGTGGGGCTGCACCAACCCCTTCCTGAAGAGAGGCGCAGAGGGGATAGAACATGTGACGAAGACCAACAGGGTCTCACAGCTGCTCGCAGAACTTAAGTTTCTTTTCTTTAACTTCAGGGTAAATCCTGACACAATTTCTTGGTTGATATTTTTCACGTGTGAAATCAGTACTTGGCTTAATTGCACCCTTTGCCTTGTCTTGTTGTCTAGTACCTGATCCCATTCCTTCTGAACCAGAGTGGCTCTTTGGTCTATTATCATACCCTTTCTACCACAGGTAGGGTATGTTTCAGGTCATTACTGTTTGATGGCAGCCAGTGTTAATTCTGACAAAATACATGCCGCTAGTCCCTTCACAGCAGCAGACATTTAAAGTTGTCCTAGCACAAAAAACACAGGTATAGCCAATAATATCGGTTATAGCTCAGTTTTATTAGCTGTTACAGTAATTCATCTCAGTGAGAAACATGGACAAAAGCAGAGCTCTGGAACTAGCTCACCTAAATGTAATGCACCTGTCATTAATGCCATCATATCTCTTTCTTTTTTTCTTATCCAGAGTTATCCCTTGCTGTTCCTGTGACCAACTCTCTCACCTTCCTTTGCACTTTGCTCACTGGCAAGTTACTTGGTGAAGAGTTTGGAGGCAAAAGTAAGTGTCACATGCTGGTGTTACATAAGCAAAACACAGACTCTGGATTGCTATATTGGCATGTCATTGGGCACTTGATTCCCTCCTTTGCATTTCTCATCTCCTTGAAAAGTACCACACTAGTTGTGCTCTTTATTTTAATATATGCTTTTTAAAAAAAACTTTCATTTTCTGTCTTATCCTCCCCCACACACCTCACTCTCTGCAGAGGCTGTTGTAGGGATGTTCCTCACCATGGCTGGGATCACCCTGTGTGTTATGAGTATCCACTGATGACAGAGTCACTGGGAGGCAGCCCAGCCTGTGCACTGTTCCCCAGCTGCTTTGTGTATATGACATTACCGATGTAGGAATGTATACCACTGCCTGACAACTGCAGTTGGTTAAGGCAGAGGAAGAACATAGCTCTGAGGGTGAGTGACCTTGTTGTATGTTCAGTAAACATGTCAGAACAGTATCCACAAATAATAGAATATTGTTTATTGTATAGTATTTAACTGACACAAACATTGTACAGATTACTTTATTATTGACACAGTATTCAGCTCATGATGTAGCTGATATTTTATTAATAAACTGTTGGCATAACATGATTCTTCATCTGTTCTTTACTCCATCGAAACCTTCTGCTAATCAAAATACATTTAGGCCCAAAATATTATTTCTTAAGTACATACAGTATAGTATATGGAATAAATTGCATCATTGAAATTATACATAGTATTTAGTGTACATGTAAACAGACTGGATGCAGTATCATAAACACACTATCATGCGGTCAATTGTGAAGCCCTATGACAAACATTACCTTTGTGACGTGTGTTTCTTGTGAAGAACTGAAATATTACAACAACCATCAAGTTGTTTGTACAGATATTCATGGTCTACAAAGGATGAATCCTAGAAACTTTGGTGATCCCCTTACTTTTTCTGTAGCTTCACCAGGAACCTGACATTTGTGGGTTTCAGTTAAGTGTATTAAGTGTTGGATAGACCCTGGTGTTCCCCTTTATTTTTATCTAATGACATCATCAGGTCAACATTAAATTGTCTCCAGTACTTTGGTTCCTGACCGAATAGCTGAAAAAATGACAAGCTTTTCAGACATTTCAGTCAGTCTCAGCTGTATTTTGTGTTTTGTGCAATGTTTAAAATGTTAGCATGCTAACATGCTAAACTGAGATTGTAAATATTACACGGTCTACCTGTCTAACATCAGCATGTAACCATCATCACTGACATGTTACCTGCTGACATTAGCATTTACAGTAGTTCAACATCTCACTGTGACTAGCTACAGTCAAAGAGCTGCTAGTATGACTGTAGGCTCCTAGTCCTCTTTTGAAGTGTTGATTTAACTGTATGTAATTTATTGTACTAAAGCTTATGGTCTTGTAGTCTCCTCCTGTCCTTTTTTAATATCTTTTTTTTTGCATGTTCACATTTGTGTCTCAGTTTTCTAAAAGAACAAATTTATGTTGTTACTTGGCTCATTACCACAGTTAAAGTACTACCGATATAAACATTAATGAAGCACATAGGTCAGATTGCAGTACTTTCTTGGTTATGTGCTGTGCTTGTGGCTGGTTTCAGCTATGATGGTGAAGTGTCTCTTCTCATAATTCATCAGTGGTGCAGATGATGGTTCTCTTCTGTATTTGATGGGGCATCCTGTGGCCTCTCCTGTTTGTGCAAATTATTAAAACAGTGCAAAAGGAAAAGCTAATCAGCAAACATTTTCATTGGACCTGTCCAGGAGCTGATCCAGAAAACTGTGGATGCAGTGGCCAGACTGGGGTACAGACTGGGGGGGGGGGTGGCACATATAAAAGGTAAATTAAACCCCTGGTTCTATGAAATAATAAACCATAGGAAAACCATTAGGAATCATTAATTTTATGCAAAAATGATATGCACATAGTGCTTTCTTTGCCTAACTTTGGCTATGCTGTTTACTTACTCACGGCCCACTGCACAGGTCCCCCCCCCACTGAGGTGAATCGTGCCAAGTACTCCACAACAGCACAATCAGAGAAATTAATGCAGATATAATGCTGCATATGAAATGAAACTAATGTGACCCATATCAATTATAAAGCACCATAAAAATATTAGTTGTATTTAAAGCTGAAATGTTTTTGTCTGTGTACTGAATGTGAGCTAAGCTACATATAGTAAACATTTGGTTGTGTGTACTGTGTACTGTACCCACCAGTATTTCAGCAGCAGAGTCCTCGGCCTTTGCCAGATTTTCTGTCTGTTTCACACTGTCTTGTTCAGAAGACTGCACCTTTGACAAAAATGTATGCTCTGAACCCATCTGTACAGAAACAATCAACTAAAGATTTATACAGGACATCTGTACTGTATAATGTTTCAGCCACAGTAAGTGTAGCCACCCACTCACACATTCTGTACCTGTATTTGTGTGGGTGTTCTCTCTCATTGTGCTGTTCATTCACTATAACTTGTGCATGTTTCTTAAGGAAAAACATAAGATTTTATGTTTTTTCTCACATGCATAATACAGTGTCTTCTGTGTTTGTGATAGTCAGTAAATAATGGCCCTTTATATGGAAATGAAAGAAGACCAGACAGGAGTTTTCAGACAAAATTAACACAGTCACGCATTTTGACTGTCCCGCTAATACGCATAAATACATAAGGATCCATCTTTTTGGAATTGATACCTTTCTAAATTATGCCATTAATGTCTGTTCATTATGTAGGAAATGCCCTATACTGTATGTGAGAATGCTCGAATGTGAAGGATGACTCATTTCTTCATTAAGATAAGACTCAGACAGCCACATTATATAAAATAATTGGTTGAATCCTGCCTACCTGCTGTGTACTGTGCAGAGCATCATCAGTGTTGTTCAGCTCCTCATCCTCCACTATTTCTGCTACTCTCTTTACATGGAAAATGAGAGTCAGCTTTTAGATGCTTTAAGCACATGTTTTCACATTATTCAGTGATATTTTACCATTAGAAATTGCACCATGCTGTCATTAGACTGAAGAGACACAGAGAAGACTACGAGGGTAACCTGATCAACAGGAAGCTCTGTAACGGTATTTTCATCCTCCTCGACCTCTTCAGCACCCCGCATCTCTTCTCGCCTCTTCCGTGTTGTTCTTTTAAAAATGCTAGGCTGCACTGTAAGAAACAGAAACCAAAAAGCTGCTGCTTTACTGATGTTAGATTTTTAATCAGATATATATATAAAGCAGTGGCGGGCCGTGCATTTGGTACCTGGGCCTTCAGTGGAGACTTACCCGACTTAATTCACCTCTTAATACCACCACTGTACGTCGCAATTATAGAAACCATCAATGCTATACAAAAATGCAATATAATAAAGTGTGGCATTACAGGGAGAGAGGTATTTCGCGTATTGAGGGTGAATACCATTTTTACTAAAGCAAGAAACCCAATTAAGACAACTCCAAAACCTCTACACTACAACCGCAACTGTGATCTCTGCGTTTCAGTTCCATCATAAGCCCTTTTCTAGTTTTGCTCTGACCAACCAATCAGAGGACGGAAAAATGCTGACATCATTGTGGGCCAGCTGGCCCTGTGAGGCGAATTTGAAATCTGATTGGTTAAAGAAACAGTCCCATTGCTAGTATAGTTTAAGTTACATGGGCCAGCACTTCTGATTCTGAAGGCCCTGGGCAGATTAGATTGACATGGCAACACATAGAGGCTGAAATCTGATTGGACAAAAAAATCTAGCATCCACATACATGTACTGGAAGCGGTGCAGCCAAGAGAAATACTACGAAATGAAGAGAACAGACTGTTGGGAATAAATTAATACAAATTCATGGAACAAATATTAGAATGTCGGTTGTAAATGTAGGTCGGTGCTTCTAATAGTGTTTAGGCCAGCAGAGAAGGCCTTGCTGGCCCTGACGGCCCGCCACTGATATAAAGGCAGATTTGATGGAGCTCCTAACCAGATCCTCTGTTTTTGCGGATCATGATGGGCCTGGCAAAGAACACCGCCATCTCATCTGCTCCCTCTCTCCTGCTCCTCTGGTTTGTGGCTTGTGAGGATTCAGCTTCATCTCCTGTCGACTTCACCCTTCGACCATCTGACTGAAATTCACAAGATATAACAGAGTATTACAAACGGGGAAAAGCCTTCTGCACTGTTTGTGTCGCTGTTGTACTGAATCTGTGTCAGTAGACGCCAAACAAACTAACAGTACCAATATAGCTCCTGTAATGTGAAAACAACACAGTGGAGAACTTTTTTTTTTATACCTCTGAGGAATTGAGGAGAGCTGAGTCGCTGTACTGGTCTTGTGGACCGCTTCCTGCTTTCCTGTTCTGGGGGAAACACACAAAAGACACCCTTTTGTTTTTCAGTTAATTATCTTCTGACAGCTGTCATTCAGATGAAACACATTGCACAAAAACTGTAGGCTGCCATATTACAATGCTAAAACTGTATTTTAAGACATGAAAATCAGGTGGGTGAACCATAGTATTAACTGAAGGTACCTCAGTTCTCCTCAACAGTCTCCTCTTTCCTGGGTAATACCTAAAAAAAACAAAGAAATATCATTGTAATATGAAGAACATGTGGACAGAATTCTCATCTGACAGTCATTTATTTTATAAAGCAGAATATTTAGCACAGATGCACAAAAAAACACATTTTTACAATCACTCACAGAGGACTGTGCATAACAATACCTTTCAGTAGCTTTTGAAACCAACAACTCCACATATGGAAGTTTCTTGAACCTCTCTGTTCCCACAGCAACATAGCAGTGTCCGTTCTCCAGCTCCCCAGCTGAGGACACAGTTACTCCTTCCAGAGAGCACAACCTGATAAAGCACAGAGGTTACTGCATTTTTCTCTTTATTAGTATTCTGCAGAGAGTATAGTAGATGTGTGTCACTGACCTGCGCACAGCTCCGCTTCGTAAGCTGACCTTCTCAGTGACCAGACTCAGGATCTGCTCCAGGTCCTGCTGCATGCTCCGAGGAATGATGAATCGGAATGGTGGACATAGTAGATCTCCATTACGAAAAACGCTGAACATAAACATTAAAGGAGACATTTTAAAAACTATTTCTTAATCAACACTTGGGCTACATTCCCAGCATGACAAGTAGGGAGCAAAAGTCTAATTCTACATGCAAATGTTCAGCCAAAGCTGAAAGACTTTAGCATTTAGACAAATCAAGAGGGAATCTACCGATTTCTAAATAGCACAAAACACCTGAGGAGAATGGGAATGTTTTATAAGTTTTTGGTCATAAACCAAAGTATTGGACAGTGTCAAAATTTAATAACAATTTATCCTAAGGGGAATGTGAAGGTGTGTATGAGATTGCACTGCAACATGTCCAGTAATTGGAAATCACTCAAAACCACAAATCATCATAGTAGTGCTAAATTTAAGGGATCAACAAAGGCATCAATTTGAGTCCATGTGTGTTTTATGCTATTACATATTGTAGCTATTGAAATATTTTTGCAGGATAAGTGAAAACCTTGATCTGCTGGTGGCACCACAGGAAGCTAACAGGGTTCATCCTCTGGTTATGATGGATATCTGTACCACATTTGCAAGCCATTCATACTTGGGATATTTATGTATTTGATTGGGTCTGACTGCTGACGCCTCATATTAGCTTTGACTGAAATTTGCAGAAACATCTTGTCACATCATATTAACTGTTACAACATATAGTGCCTTGCGAAAGTATTCAGCCCCCTTGAACTTTGCGACCTTTTGCCACATTTCAGGCCTCAAACATAAAGATATAAAACTGTAATTTTTTGTGAAGAATCAACAACAAGTGGGACACAATCATGAAGTGGAACGAAATTTATTGGATATTTCAAACTTTTTTAACAAATAAAAAACTGAAAAATTGGGCGTGCAAAATTATTCAGCCCCCTTAAGTTAATACTTTGTAGCGCCACCTTTTGCTGCGATTACAGCTGTAAGTCGCTTGGGGTATGTCTATCAGTTTTGCACATCGAGAGACTGAAATTTTTGCCCATTCCTCCTTGCAAAACAGCTCGAGCTCAGTGAGGTTGGATGGAGAGCGTTTGTGAACAGCAGTTTTCAGTTCTTTCCACAGATTCTCGATTGGATTCAGGTCTGGACTTTGACTTGGCCATTCTAACACCTGGATATGTTTATTTGTGAACCATTCCATTGTAGATTTTGCTTTATGTTTTGGATCATTGTCTTGTTGGAAGACAAATCTCCGTCCCAGTCTCAGGTCTTTTGCAGACTCCATCAGGTTTCCTTCCAGAATGGTCCTGTATTTGGCTCCATCCATCTTCCCATCAATTTTAACCATCTTCCCTGTCCCTGCTGAAGAAAAGCAGGCCCAAACCATGATGCTGCCACCACCATGTTTGACAGTGGGGATGGTGTGTTCAGGGTGATGAGCTGTGTTGCTTTTACGCCAAACATAACGTTTTGCATTGTTGCCAAAAAGTTCGATTTTGGTTTCATCTGACCAGAGCACCTTCTTCCACATGTTTGGTGTGTCTCCCAGGTGGCTTGTGGCAAACTTTAAATGACACTTTTTATGGATATCTTTAAGAAATGGCTTTCTTCTTGCCACTCTTCCATAAAGGCCAGATTTGTGCAGTATACGACTGATTGTTGTCCTATGGACAGAGTCTCCCACCTCAGCTGTAGATCTCTGCAGTTCATTCAGAGTGATCATGGGCCTCTTGGCTGCCTCTCTGATCAGTCTTCTCCTTGTATGAGCTGAAAGTTTAGAGGGACGGTCAGGTCTTGGTAGATTTGCAGTGGTCTGATACTCCTTCCATTTCAATATTATCGCTTGCACAGTGCTCCTTGGGATGTTTAAAGCTTGGGAAATCTTTTTGTATCCAAATCCGGCTTTAAACTTCTCCACAACAGTATCTTGGACCTGCCTGGTGTGTTCCTTGTTCTTCATGATGCTCTCTGTGCTTTAAACGGACCTCTGAGACTATCACAGTGCAGGTGCATTTATACGGAGATTTGATTACACACAGGTGGATTCTATTTATCATCATTAGTTATTTAGGTCAACATTGGATCATTCAGATATCCTCACTGAACTTCTGGAGAGAGTTTGCTGCACTGAAAGTAAAGGGGCTGAATAATTTTTCACGCCCAATTTTTCAGTTTTTTATTTGTTAAAAACGTTTGAAATATCCAATAAATTTCGTTCCACTTCATGATTGTGTCCCACTTGTTGTTGATTCTTCACAAAAAATTACAGTTTTATATCTTTATGTTTGAAGCCTGAAATGTGGCAAAAGGTCGCAAAGTTCAAGGGGGCCAAATACTTTCGCAAGGCACTGTACATATGGTCATGTAGATGTTGTTTTAAGACAGAATAGTAAAATGTGAGCCTATCCTTGACAGGATAAATACTATCTAAATGTGCTACGGATGTGTGTGTTTGCATTTAGTGTGTCAAACTCACTGTATAATGCAAGGAACAGGTATAAACCTCCTCCATTTGGCTGAGACATTTGGCCTCTGGTTTACTTTTGCCTGGAGGTGACATTTAGAAAATAATAAGCACGGTACAGCAGAACATCAACAAATTATGAAAATTCTCTCATCAGATTTACATTATTCACATCCTGCACAACAGTTACACTCTATGTCCATTGCAGCAAATTCACCTATCCCAGAAGTGTATTGACAGGCTAACTAACTATGCTTCTCATGTCAGCTGAAGTGCTGCAGCCATGGAAACAAACATCACTTCAAGGCTTCACTGATGGCCCATTGACATGTCGTGTCTGACTATGAGGGCTCTTCTCAAAGCTGCTACCAATGTCATCCCATATCGATGAAATCTGGAGCCTTTATCCGTGTCTGCTTCTGATAACATAGCTGGATTAAATCAGCTCAAAACAAAGCCAGACCTTGAAAATCTTGCCTTATTCTTTTACTTTGAAGTGGCAGGCATTTAATGCATTTACAGTATCTCTGAGCAGAAAAGGAGGTGTGGAGCAGTGATTATGGGCCTGAGGCCTGCCCAGACACGCACAAAGCCCTGATAACACTGTGTGGAAGCAAAACTCTTTGTGTCACCAGTGGAATCAGACACACTCGCACAAAGACACACTTCCTGCGTTGCTCCACAACAACCAAAACACAGGTTTGTAATTCTTTAAAAATCAAGACCCAAGCTAAGAAAATCTGCTTTTCCAAATGGCAAACACCCAAGGCACTCCAATTACTCTCCACTGTTTTTTTTAATAGAAATGCAACACTGATGCTTCAGACTAACAGCACACTCTATGACTAAAAAACCAAGCTGTCATGCTTGCCAGCTGGTCATAATACAAAGCAAGTACTTGCCACCATGAATGGCTCTGTGTGTATACTTATGTGTAACTCTGTATATGCTAAGGAAGCTTCTACCTGTGTAATACTATCACCCTTGTCACCATGTCCTGCCTTCCTTTGAATTGACAGAAAAAGTTACCAGTTAAGAGAAAACAGTTGAGTTCTAATTCATTCAGAGAATCTTCCTGATGAAAATTATCCCAACCTTTGATTGACTTTGGGAATTTCTGATCTAAATAAACTGAGTATAATGTCACATACAGGCTTGAAAGGATGCCCCACAAGCCCCAAGGTTGATGGACAGCACAGTCATTAGAGTCATTAGCTAATTATTTACAGCAACGTATATGACAACCAGTAACATCAATGGGACATATGCGCAAAGGGCGATCCATGCGCGCACACACACACACACACAAAGTGTATCTAATCTAACTAACATACCAATGTGTTGTCACATTTAGAGACAAATATGAGCTTGGCTTGGTAATGGAAAATCCTGTACTCATTTTCATATATGACTCAGCAGGACCTCAAATGGTTCGACTTGATATGAGCACAGTGCTGCCTGAGGGATTAATGAATGATGGATTATGCTGCTGCCCTAAAATAAAACTCTACCTGTGTTTCTTCACGGGCAGCAGGCCGCTTTTTAACTCCTGGGTTCAGGTAACTGTACAAGAAAACAACAGATATGATAAACAAAAACTTGCAGCTGTCCTAACACCAAAACTTAAATTAAACTAATTAGCTTTAATTTTCATTTTAGTGAAATAAATCCTTGTATTAAAAATACTGGACACCAAAACCTTCCCCAGTATCAGCACAGTAAATGGCTTTTGTACTCACTCCAGTTTCTTGAATCTTTCAAAGCCAGCAGCAACATATTGGGCTCCTGTCTGAAGGTCCTGGAGGTCAGTGACCCTGTGGCCCTGCCTCGGGGTGTACAGGGTCCTGACAGCAAGTGGAGCGCCGATGCTCTGGGTCACTTCATTCAGAAAGGCCTCCATAGTGGCCACCTGTCGCTGGTTGATCACAAACCTCCGTCCGCTGTAGAAGGGGTCTCCATTCCTATACACCACCACGCTCTTCACTGGAGGCAGGAGAGTAACAGCTGCAGTGCCGGCAGCCATCTCTGAGCCATACAAATTTAAATACGCTGTTAAAGTGTTTTTTGAGTTCACATATACGCACAACGCATACTGTAACTCTCTCCTCACATATAATTTCACTCACTAAACCTAGAGCAGCAGTAGCACAGTCTTTGGATCACATTTGTTCAACAGCCACACATAAATACAAACATATTCCACGATCTTTGATCCACAGACACTGTTCAGTCACTCACAAGCCTGGTGGAGGGTGAAGGACAGAAATCGCAGAATTGAAGGCAAAGTTGAAAATCAGTCCTTTCTGTTGCTGTGGTCTGTCTGGACTTCCACTCACCACATTCTGCTTGTCTCTATCTCCACAACACACACACATACTACACTACTGACAGCGGTGAGTATTTCCTGGTTGCTATGGCAGCGTGGCCAGCAATGACTGGCTTTGTCGGCCAAACTATCGGCAGCAACCATAACAAAAGGGGCAGACAGAGGAGAGGAGAATGGGTGGGTCACTGTGTTGTAAGCTGAATCAATAAGATAGCCTCTCCACCCAGCTGTCTGTATTTTCCAAAAAATAATTTGCCATATGAATCATGCATATTAGTAGTGGAAAGCTAATGCAAGAGCCAACAGGTGACAGAACCACTACTGAAATGCTTCAAAAGTGACTCTTTTTGAAGAACTGAAGAAATTATGAAAATTACATCCTCCAAGAAAATAATATCCAAGCTATATAAACTCATATCAAATATAGATTCAACAATAATAATACCAAAACTCAAATGGGAAAATGATTTAACTCTCCCCCTCAACTCCGATGTCTGGACAGAAATTTGCAATAACATCTTTTCTATGACCAGCAATGTAAACTTACAACTTATACAATACAAGACCATCTATAGGACCCATATTACACAAAGTAAAATGTTCAAAATGGGTTTTACCGACATAGACATCTGCTCACAATGCACTCTAGATTGCACCAACAGTTACTTTCATGCTACTTGGACCTGCCAACCAGTTTATTCTCTCTGGATAGCAGTGACAGAGAAACTCGCCACCATCTTGGGTTTAACAATTTTTAACACATTTCAACTTGGGGCTGAGGCCATGCACATTCCCACCAACCTCTAGAAATGTAACAAGCTGATTTTATTAGTACTGTTATCATCATTATTATTGGTAATTTTTTTTTAATTTACTTCCCCTCCTTTTCCCTTTCTTGCATCTCATAGACTGCATAAGTTGGAAATACCCACACTTCACACACTACAACTTCGTTAAACACTTTATATCCTGTTGCAATGTCATGTAACTGTTGTCTTGTCTCCCATGTTCGGTACTGTTTTGTTAATGAGGAAAAAAAAAGTGACTCTTTTTAAAAGATAACTAATATTTAAGAGCAATGGAAATTTTACACATTAGCCCTTAAAGGCTCTTTATATCATAAGTCATTATGTGAAGTTATGTGAATATTTGTGAGAACTTGTTCATTGAGTTCCAAATGGCAAATTCTTGAGACACAAGCTTATTTAGAGCCAAGGATCCTCCCCTAAATTCATTTCAGTAGACCTTTGTCCCACACAATAGTTAACACCATTTATGCTAGGAGGACAATAATCAGTGAAACCACTGCAGTGATGACAACAGCAGAATTTTTTTTATAAAAATAAAATTTATTCAGTTTTCACACTAACAAATAAGATATGTAATGTACATTTTTTTTCTCAAAGACAAAATAAACACTATTTCTTTACTTCACTCATAAAATACTAGTCCTGTTCATATTGCCTTGTTGCTGTCAGGATATGGTCAGCCTATCCTTCAGAGACAGGTACTGTAGAGATGAAGAAAAAGGACAAACAATCACTAAACGCACATTTTCTGTTGCAAAGTTATACCCTATAGTCAGATGGTTAGTCAAGCACACACTCAGATTTATTAAAAAAAACTGGGATTATATAGTTGAAATTATAACCTATGTAAATGTTTTGGCATGATTCTTTTCATGCTGTTGTTGTCAATTAACATTTCCTGTGCACAACTGCATTTGAAATCCAAATGCCAGTAAGTAAATCCTGATGTCTTTGGTTTACATTAACTGTTGTCTTTGCATATTACTCCACATTTTAGCATCCTGGCGCCCTCTGAGGTTGCAGAGTATTTCATGGAAGTAGCGATACAGGATTCATGACAACATTCCTTTGGTTAATTTGATCAGTACAATGTATGAGTGCAAAAGTGTGCAGGCATGAGAAGAAACAGCCTTAGAGATTTATGCACCTTTTACATAAATCAGACTAGAAAAATCGGACTGACGTGTAGCTTCTAATTCATGTTTGTAATTATAAGGTCCTGCTTTACAGGCTTTCTGGATGTGTCAGTAAGTAAGTCTGGCTCTGATACTTGCTGCAAACTTACTATATGGTCATTATTATGGTCCTGGTACTTAAAGTGCAGGTATTTTTTGTGAGAAATGCTTCACCTGGGATATAATGTATTGACTCATTTCTGAGGTCACTAATTACATTTTGTCTTGCAGCAGAAGCAATTTTCTTTCCATTGTTGAATAAATGTACACTATATCTGTCCTTTTCTCCATCTTACCTTTTTCCTGCTGTCAATGGCCTGTTGGAGCCAGAGCAGCTCCATGGTCAGGGTGTTTCTGTGGAGGCGCAGGGCCTCTGGAGTACGGGGCACCTCCTGAGCCAAGCAGTACTGATGGGAACCTTAAGGAGGGATGGTAAATTCAAAATTCTTTTCACTGCAGGAGACAAATCTGTTTGCCACCTATGTACATACGTCATAAAATTACTACTGATGGCCAAAATCTTTTCCCTCTTCCCACAAATGTGTGAAACCCCTCTCTGTGGCTAAGATATTCTAACTTGGTGGCAATGCTATTTTGTCTGTTTGGACAACTTTTTTGAAGCCATTTAAAATTTTTAACAGAGGTAACTGGCACACATATTTCATACTAAGCAAAATGTCTTTTATGATGGATATTATCCGCAGGACTTAAATAAGATTAGTGCTGCAACAACTGGAAACTGGGATGGGCACGTTCTCACATATTTTGTAGGGTTAATGAATTGCGAAAATAAATGAATAATGTCAGATATGCCAAAAGAGCCAAGGGATTGCACAACAGCAGGGATCGCCAGTAGTTTCTGCACAATCTCACCTTTGTGAGAGTGACCATAGCTCATGTCCAGGTCCAAACTGCTCCAGATGCTGGTGGAGGTTGTGCTCCCTGTCATCCCTCCATCTGTTTCTCCCTCCTCATTCCTAAAACCCTTCTGTATCTGACCCTCCCCATCTCCTCCAACATAGCTACTGGGAAAACAATCCCTGGAAGGACAGGCTTGGCCTTTGGTTTGTGAATCATCTCTCTCAGCTTCTATCTTCTCCAGCAGCACATGTCTTTCTGTCTCCTGTGATAAGGGTGGTGCTGCTGCTGCTGGTGGTGCTGCTGCTGGGCTCTGGGTGCTGTCACCGACATCCAGTCCTGGATCTGATGGATTGCTGGTTCCCAGAAGTGGACCGTGCTGATAATACACGAGCAAAGACATGAGGAACGTATCTTAAAACGGGTTAAACTCTCATAACACTCACAGTTACTTACACTGTCTGTGAAGTGGGGGATAGATATGACAGCCTCCCTCCACTGTAAATGGGACAAGCCCCCATCAATTTCTTGAACGATGTCTTCAAAATCTTGTCTTGCGCGACGGACTTCGTTTCTCACCAAGTATCCACGTGCAAATGCCTACAGAAGAGAGGTGGTAGCAGCGTTATCATTTGTTACTTCACTGCTAATATTTGAAGCCGTTTCCCAGAGTCAGAGAAGGTATAGCTAGACATCCGAATTAGCAAAATACATTTGACTGAAAATTAACGCGACACTCGACACTGTAAGACTTGAAATCAGACTAATAAGATAAAGTTATTACCTGAAAATAGGTGAATTTCTCCTCCCATCGGATTCTATCCATTGCTATGGTAACACGGCAGCACTACCACAAAAGCGGGAAATAAACTTGTTCCGGTGTCAAGCTCAAAAATTAAAAGCTCTTCCTTGTGAACTCTAGCCGCATACTTATACCTGTTATGTTTTTAGTTCAATATGTTGTCGTGAACACAACGCACTTAAAATATTATGACCTAAACTGTATTCAAATGACCCAAAACTCCAGAAGTAAAACAGTCGTTATTTATTTGGCGTTATATTTTGGAAACACGTAAACGGAAGTGGCCCTTTGTTTTGTTCAGTTAGCAACGAGGCTACTCGTCACATTGCACGTTTCCTCAAGCTTTTTGCCACAGCTTATAACAATGAGTAGTGGTTCAAATCAGAGGACTTTGTTCCAGACATGGGGTGCCTCTGTTTCCCAAAACAAAGTTGTTCAGCCGAAAAAAAATGCCAAGAAAGCCGCTGGACGGCTCAAAACAACCCCAAGCAAACCTGCTCAGGTAGTCACTACAAATACACTTCGTAATCCACTGTGGACTGCACTAGGCCAGGGGTCCACGTACACATCAGAAACCCCGGTGATGACAAAGAACTCCATACCTGCTTATGAAGATGAAGAGGACGACGATGATCTGATGGTGATCGCTGTTCATGAAGCTGAAGAGAGCCTGCAACTTGGTAATGCTAACTTTTTTCAAGACGACATCCCTGTAGGAACAGAGAGCAGTGCCATAACTACCACCCAGTCAGGTGGACAGACATATCCAGACTTCCCTGGCTTTGACAGCTCCTCAGCTAAGGTATGGATCTACCCCACCAACTACCCCATCAGGGGGTACCAGTTAAAGATATCAGAGGCTGCCCTGTTTCAGAACACACTGGTGTGTCTGCCCACTGGTCTGGGAAAGACATTTATAGCCTCTGTAGTTATGTACAACTTCTACCGTTGGTATCCATCAGGGAAGATTGTATTTATGGCTCCCACCAAACCCCTGGTTGCACAGCAGATTGAAGCCTGTTATAAGGTCATGGGGATCCCACAGGCACACATGGCTGAGTTGACAGGTACAAACAAATATATGACACAAAGGTCATGCCACTCATCTGTCCTGTTTTAGCAATTTCCTAGACTGCATCTGCCGCTCTACAGGTAGCACAGCAGCAAAGCAGAGACAGGAGTTGTGGAGGTCCAAGCGCGTCTTCTTCCTCACCCCTCAGGTCATGGTGAACGATTTGTCTAGAGACACCTGTCCGGCTCAGCAGGTCAAGTGTGTGGTGATTGATGAAGCCCATAAGGCGCTGGGCAACCATGCCTACTGTCAGGTACGGAAACCTTTCACTGATGATTACAGCAGTGCTATGGAGCTCACTTATATACTGTAGACTAGAGTTGGTTCTTACTAGAGCAAGCTCTTACTACTAGGTTCAGTTTTTGCTCCCTCCTCTTTATAACCATGTAATTAGCACATTTAACATATCATATCCTTCCCTTGCTTTTCCACCTGTAATACAGGTGATCAGGCAACTTGTCAGCCAGACTTTGCAGTTCCGCATCCTGGCTCTCAGTGCCACTCCAGGGGGAGATACAAAGGTGGAATCAACCTTTTAGTCTTTTTGAACTAATTTGACTTAAAAATAAGTTCTTCATTTAACTATTCAACTAACTTCATTTAACCCCTCATGTTGCAGTCGGTGCAGTCGGTGATCTCTAATTTGCTCATTGCCCATATTGAACTGCGTTCAGAAGAAAGCCCAGATATCCAGGCCCATTCTCATCAGCGCAGCGTGGAGAAAGTGGTGGTTCCTCTGGGAGAGGCCCTTTCTGCTTACCAGGCACGCTACCTGCAGGTAGGATCATGCAGTGACGCATCATAAAACCCCTTGTCTGTACTGGTTTTCATATATTTATTTTGAACAAATAAATGAATGATTTAAAATCAGAGCTTAGGGGATGTGCAAAACCATATTTAAGTCAGTCTTTGTTGCCCTTCATATCACTGATTCATGTCAGTGATAAATACATAAACACACCAGCAGACAAACTTCAGACCTGGCTATAATAAAGATTTTAATTAAGCTTGACACTGAATAGTGATGTTGGCTTTATCATTCTGTGCAGTGTGTGCCATTAGTTTTTTTTCTGGTGCTTTCTTGCCACCTTGTGGTTATGGTTTGCTTATTTCTGTAAAAATCCTCAGCTGTAAGTCTTTTCACAACATCAGGTCTTGCCCCTTTTTGTGAGGTTCTTACTGGGTTGGTTAACATTAAATGGACTGTGTGCAATATATGTTGCCAATGAAACTCATTACTGTAAATCTCAATAGACAGGAGAGAAGCACACGTTTATTGAACAAAGAAAACCACAGTAGCTCTCACTGTTGCATTTGAATTTTCACATTACAGCACACTTTTGCAAAGCTCAAAGAAAGGAAAAGAAATTACAATACTCACATTTGATGTTCCTATATAATCAAGGTCATAGAAGGAAAACCAACCTACACATACATATCTTGTCTATGCAGTTGTCAGAGTATCATATTGACAATATGACCAGTAAATGAAACATAAATTCTTTGGATTTGGATGTCTTCGTGTCAACCAGATCGGCTTTAAGATAGAGCAACCTTCTTAATCCTGTGCTAACCTGCTTAATGGTCAGTTTTGAGTTTTGAGCTGAATTTAACATTTCATTTTATACATATTTAATAGACCTGAAGAACTACCTGCCTAAGTGCTTCATGTGATGCATCTGTCTTGGTAAAATCCTCACACAGTACTCATTTGGCTAATTCGCTTCCAGTTGTTTTTTTCTACTGGCACCTGAGCAGCGGAATGTTCTTGCATTACATTTAAGTGTAGCTAACTTGACACTGTTTTTGTTGCATTGCATTGGTACGTTTTATTTTAAAACTGCCTGTCGATGGGCCTTTCTTCTTTCATTCTGACTTTTCAGACTCTTCTTATAGTCATAGAACATTAAAAAGCTATTTTAGCTGAAACAGACTCTATCGGCTGTCTATTAAAAGAAAAAAGGAGTGCAATCACATGCGACATATAACCTGTGCCTTGGTTATGTTGTTTCTACTCAGCAGCAGTATTTGCAATACTGAGGTATATGCATACTCACTAGCACAGAGAAGCAAGAGTATGAAAAGCGTTACATTATTCCTGTGTGTGAACAAGACAGATTTGAGCAGTGCGTTGATTTGCACCAAAGTCTTAAGCAAAAAAGACATACTGTAGGCTACATGTTATATAACACCCTATGATTGTCATTCAGCAGTAAGAGCAAATCAGTGAGTTTTTCAGTGCTTGGTTTGTAGAAGTGCAGCATTTGTTTTCACCCTTTCTCTGAAGCTGTACATTCATGAGCAAACACATGATGAAGTTCTCCTCATATGTGCTTGTTTTTGAAGGTTAGTAGTGTCACATATTGTGCTGAGCTTATTTATGGCTCTGGTCCGGATTTTTATCGTGTTGTGTTGTGTGGTGCAGATCAGGAGCTGTAATAGCTGGTTTGTTGATGGTTTATCTGGCAAATACCGCACTTTCTGTTAAAAAAAAACATAAACAGTGGGCCTGGCATCACATAGACTTGTAACCTGTGGTGAATTGTGAAGTACAGATATAAAGAAACTGCAAATCAACAGTGACAGCTGCAATCACCTCAGCAAGCTAGAGAAAGACAGAAAAACTGTTTGTTTTTTGTTGTTGTTGTTGTTCACTGACCTTTACCCCACACGACAAGACATTCTAGCAGTGCAACAAGCTGAAAGAGAGCACGATAAGGCTGCACATTCACTGTTGAAAAGACTTTTGCGTGTTTGCCACAGCACTCAAAGGTCACCGTGTTCGCAGAGCGGTGCACAAGAGGGCACTGTCATTAGGAAAAGTTTGAGCTATTTCAGTGAAAGAGCAGGAGATGAACACCACAGCTCAACTTAGCATCTGCTTTGTGTCCACGAGACGAGAGCGGTTTAGTTCAGTTCTTATGGGTTAAATAAGAATCTGCCTAAACGGAACACAAAGGGAAATTCTCTGAGGGTTGAGTAAGGGCTGAGTATTTAAACCAACTGCTGTGGAGTGTGCCTGGCTGGTGGTGGTGACTAAAGAGGATGTTGTGGCTCAGCTGGGGTGGTGTTAACTTTATGAGGCTCAAAGGTCACAGATAGGGTGCCGCTGCGTAGCGCTCTCATCCCTCAGTGTCGCTCGAGAAACCAGATCTCATTCTGACGGTTGCTGTGAGCAGGGTTGGTGTAGCCAGCCACGATGAACGAGTCGCTGACGCACACGCCAGGAGAGTCTAGCAGCTCTGCCATGGCATTGATCTGGTTAATGATGATAACTTCATTGGTGGGACCGATGAAGGCCCTGGAAGGAAAAGGGAGGAAACAGTGTTTTAGTTCAACACATCAGATTTTTATGCCAAGCTGGGAAAAAAGTAGAGAGGAATTGAGTTAAATTAGAATAGCAGAAGGAGTCATTTCATTGTTTTTCTCTGCTCACCGTATGTATACAGTAGTGGCAGGCCAGATCTCTATAACAATGTCGTCGTCATAAGGTTGTGGAGGCTGGGCCTGATGCTCAGCGGGAAGGTAGTAAGCCACCGTGACATCATGGGAGATCACAGAACGGTTCTCGTCTGTGTGCACCACCGTCACAATAGGAAGCGTCATGCCCAAATAGTCACCTATTGGAAGAAAATTATCATCATTATTACTTATTGGGCTCGCTGGAAAAATCATTGTTTTGGAGATAATAGCCAGTAAATGAAATGGAAGGTGAGGCTGAGGTTCAAAAGGTTAGACTTTGATTGCGTGAGTGAAATGGTTCCTTGCTTTTGAACTCACCTGAAGAGTTATGTTGGCAGATGTATTTCATTATCCTCATAAAACCATAGCAGATGCTCTGCTCATAAGTATCCTTATGCATTGTGATACAAGCCCAGTGGCCCTTTTCGTAGTGGCGTTTCTCATAGAGCAGCTCTCCACACTGAAACAGTACAGAAGGCGAGAGGATAGAATTAGAACCCAAACACCTTTTGAAGATTCTGTTAAATCAAGTCTCCTTATGAAACAGCCTTTCTGGAATATTCTGCACCATTTTCTGGAGAATACCAGCAAATGTTCTGACTAATGGGAAGCTAAGTGTGGTCTGTGTGGAAAATGCATCCCACCTCTGCTAGCTGCAATTAAAAGCACTGAAGACATAACAGTGTTGTGGCCTTGTGGGAGCACTTGAAGCTCTGAATGGGAGAGTTTTCCCACAGATTTACATACGGTAGCTTTATTTGGACATAAGTTTACCAAGGGAGGTGATGTGATGTCGGCGCTACTGGTGCATTTCTGTGACCTTGATCGTGTTTAAATTTATCAGTTATCTACTAAATATTTACACACTGATGTACGCAAATTGATGATGAAATAAGTTGCATAAAGGATATCATTGTGTGATGTGTCTGTGTACTGTAATGCTGCTCAGGTGTGTGACCTGAAGTTTCAAGTCTGCTTGCTGACAACATGCAAGGCAATGAAACCTGATCTAAAACCAGGGCGCCACTCTCACTTTTTTGTACTCTTTACTACTCTGGATTGGCTTGTTATTCAAGGTCTTCATTTTAAGGTCCAGTCTTTGGTGCAGACAGTTTTCTACATTAAACTAGGTTATCGCTAACTAAGCTTTTCTCTTTGCTCTTACGCAGACTGGGGTATAGTTACCTTCTCTTT